GATAATATGGGGGGGGGGGGGTGGCTGATATTCATATATTCGTGTTCACAGACCAAAAAAACAATCGCTTTCAAAAGAAATTAATAACGCAGAACACGAATATATGAATATCAGCCCCAATTATCGAGCTTGCTACGGCACTAGGTATGTCTTACATTGTAATTATGTGGTATATTTATCATTAATTAAATGAAATCATTATACAGTGGCTAGCAAATGGTACAGTGATCACGTAGCAAATAATCACCTGAATAATATTTATTCCAAAATTATTACCCGTGAAGAATATTAACCCTTGTTGCGAGTGAGACTTTAGATGCAGATCTATTGCGCGAAGCTGCCACAAAGAAAAAGGACAACAGGATCTTATTAAAAATTGTGGCAAAGATTGTGTTGCCATTGAGGTTAAGTACCATTAGTGAGTTTGATAAATAAGTGATACAAGAATTATGCTAACTATTTTGTATGGACAAGATAAGAGATCATGTGAAACAACTTCAATGTTTTTATACAACATGGGATATGATGATAATCACAGCGCTACACAGTCCATATTGAATGAGCTACAAATTCTGTATCATGCTCCTATAGACATTGTGAAGCTAGACATTGTGAAGGGGCTTAAGGTTCCTTGCCTACCTGTAGCTGAATAAATAACTTTACTAAATGAATTTCTTGTAAAGAAGTTATTTTATAGAGTGCAACTAATAGCGGATTTTCGATGTTCAGTGATATTGCCTGTTGAGTAATGTGCCTGTTGAGTAATAATAAGCTTGTAAGGAGTCATGGCTGGCTTGTGTGCAGCGTACGTACATTGGTAAAATTTGGCCATGTAATATCAGAACTACCCCGAAAGAACTTTCGATCATGGTAAAATTAGTTAGTCTGGCGACATGTGCAACAGATTTCATTTCCTAGGTTTCTTTCAAAGGCTTTAGATAACGGGTAAACAATTTGAATTTTTTATTCACATTTTAGATTTCTGACTTGCATAACCACTTTAATTCACACACTGTGGTGCACAATTTAAGGTACTATAGTGCAAAATAAGCCCTTCCCCTGCATACAGTCTGTCAATATGAGCTTTACTGGAGAAACAAAAATACTGACTCAGCATTTTTAAAGACTTTGGAACGTGATATGTCGTTATTAGTGTAATATAGTTTTTTTGTCCAATTATGCACATCAATCCGATGGCATTAAACATTTTTCGAAATTCAAATATTTTTACCTTTCGGAACTATAGATGACGTCATCGCCAGAAATTATATAGTCGACTTCTCGTTGTTGTGCACACTTATGACCGGGGGCTTTTTTATTATTTGATTTGGCATGTTCCTCTACTCCTTTATGAAAGAAATCATTAGCCTCCCGATGTGTGCAACGAAAATTACTTTCCAGGCATATTTTTAGCCTTATGTGACGGCCTATATAACACATTTATATAACGAGTTTGTATGCATTTCATTTAGGACAGATAATCTCAACTGTTTTAGGGCAAGTTGACCATGACGGTCAACATGGTAATGCTGCCCGAACCCCAATCCGGAACGAAACGTCCAAAACTGACCACACCCAAAAACAACGCTTTCGCCATGGTGCTATCTACCAAACCATAAAAGCTTTGGCTATTCTGAGGACTGAGGTGCTTATATGGTTCAAAGAAAGTGGTTTTAGGGGTGGTCCTTGGTAAGTGCGAAATGCCTAGCACTGATATTTCACAAGAAAATGACCATGCAATACTCATAGTCAAACATCAAATTGAGGCTTACAACTTCAAATAAACAGCAGTGGATCTACATTACCTTTTTTCCTAAATCTTTTTGGTAGAAACATAATTGGTACTTATTTAATTATATTATCACTGGGTTTGGTGTAAAATAGTTAATATTTTGTGACCGAAATAATAATTTGAATTGTACCTACCTTCCTGCAAATGGACGTATTTGACCAAATTCTCCACTTTACTTAGCCTGCAAACAGGCAGGCTCACTGGGAGAAAGGTGAGCCTTCACAGAACCATGTGTTTTATTCAATCATCCCCTTTTCACATCTGCTAAACGCAAGCCAATCAGCGTCGACTGCAATAAACAAACCGTCAACTGTCAAATTGACGCAGGGCGTGAAATGTACAACGAGAAATGTTACAATAATACGAAGCATTTAATAGCAAGCCGCACAATATATCAAATATAGAAATCTCCAGATAATAGATTAAGGGTATATATATATTCAATACACACCTGTCACATACAAATAAAGATAAGAATTATTCGTGTTTAGCTTTTAAAATTACAACGGTCCGTATGTTCATGTCAGCCGGATAAAATACTACCTTTGAATGTATTGTAGTAATACTTGTACTATATGGACTCGTGACTGAAGCTATTAAAATGCGGTCAAGTAGATAGGGATTTGGAATAAGTGTAAATGAGCATGTATTTAATTTCTTCGAAATCACGGGCGTGTCAATAAATAGTAGAAGCTGTATTGATGGTATCATACAGTATGTCAAATGATAAAGTGAATGCAAATGTGTTGTTTTTATTAAACAAAACCAGCATTGTTCAGGAAGTTATCATAATATGCAATAAAAGTATTAAATAATTTACAAAATTGCCTGCAGTTTGTACAGTAAATAGTACAATATTATACGACTTAATATATACGACATTGGAACAATATTTATCTTTGAAATGATATGCCAGCGAGCATCAACAATATAATTTATGTTCATACATATTTTGGTATCTTTTGTATGCCTTCGCTTATTCACTAATGAGAACAATCTGTGAAGCCGTCGCTAGTATGTCAATATGAAGTATTTTTCTCACAAACAGTGATTGCATCTTTTAGTAGCAGCTAGAGCGGTAGTGTTTGGCCCGTTTCAAAGTTTGCCATTTACACTATACTGTGTTGGGCTTTGCTTTCATTTTACAAGTCTCCACCCCCTGTTACTAAACCACACAAGATTTATACGAAATGTTTTGAAGGACTTGTAAGCAACATTTTACATGGTGATAAAATGCTGCATTTCGCATACTTCATTTGTATTTTTATTTTAATACCCTTAACAAAGGGTTAAATTTGTTATTAGTTGATGGAAATGGCTTGGATGTAAGAATAACAAGGCTGAATTGTTTACAACCGACACAGGATGACAAAATGGCGCCGAATTGGGGCAAAGTTGAGGTTTTACCTTGTCAATGGTTGAACAGCTAGGATCTACTTGAAACCCAGTTGAAACTTGTTTAAAATGTGCTTGATACGAATATGTTTGAGCTGAATTGCATACTTGGAAGGATTTCAATGAGATCGGCTATAAACAGTGGAGTAAAGTGGAGAATTTGGCTAAATACGTCCATTTGCAGGAGGTAAGTACATTTCAAAAAAGGTAATGTAGATCCACTGCTGTTTATTTGAAGTTGTAAGCCACAAATTGATGTTTGACTATGAGTATTGCATGGTCATTTTCTTGTGAAATATCATGTGAAATAGGCATTTCACGCTTACCAAAGGCTACCCCTAAAACCACCATCTCTGAACCATATAAGCACCTCAGAATAGCCAAAGCTTTTATGGTTTGGTAGATAGCACTATGGCGAAAG